AGTATTGAGTAAACAATTTTCTCATTTAATGAGTTAAGCCACTTTTCTTCAAATAGCGAATTGCTGTGCATTGTTTTGTTTTGTTTTACTTCTCATTCAAGCAGTGCCAGCTAGACCAAATTATGGGGCCTCATAGCCTAGTCAGTAAAGACACGGTATTACCAAGCTGGAGGCGGCATGTTCGATTCCCGGTCCGGTCGAAGGAATCTTTCGGGTTGGAAATTTTCTAGACTTCCCTGGGCATAGAGTATTATTGTGTTGTTGCCACACAATATACAAATTCATGCATTGGTATTGGCATCGAAAGCTCTCAATTAATAACTGTGCAAGTGCATTTAGAACACTAAGTTGAGAGCACGCAATAAGCTAATATGCACTAAGCAATAAGCTTGAAATGCGAAAAATTCCAGACCAGTTCCAGACCAAAATTGGACGGACCAAAATTCGATGTTGTAATCTGTTAAAAATGCAGGATACAGATAGTAAATAAGCACTCCCTCGATTCAGCATAATAACCAATAAGGCCAAATCTTGCTCAGCTTTCCAAGTCCCTTTACAGCAACTCTCTTTCGTTAATAGCTACCCTAATAAAATTGTTATGGTTATTTTGCTTAACGACGTGTTCCGGGTATCATCCAAACCATTTGTGGAATGGTTCTATTATTTGGGTTGTCGTTCGTTTATGATTATTTTTTATTAGGGTAGACTGCAACAACTTTTCCTGTCATGTTTGTCGTATTAAATGCTAGATTGATGCTCCTTTCATCGAACTGGGTGTCGAAAATATCCGAAAAAATCTTAACATGGTCGTGGAGATTCAATGAAACTACGTGAAAAGTTGCACGAGAAACCGGTCTAATAACTTTATTGTTATTTGGTCTACTGAACATACACTAAATCAAACGAAAGTGAAATTCCTTGTTAAAAAATTACTACTAAATCAACTAGCAAATAGTAACCCAAGTATCGGGCCTCATCAGCACTTGCAAAAACTGGTATAACCCTAAGAGGAAGAGGAGACAACTGGCTTCTTAGTGGTACCGGTGGTGTAGTGATAAGCGTGATTACCTCTCACCTCAGCAGGCCTGGGTTCAATCCCAGTCGGCGCCGCCGGGATGTTCGGAGGCATAACATTTCTGATCACGCCTTCCTTCGGAAGGGAAGTAAAGCCGTTAGTCCCCGGTTCATGGGTTGATGGGTCGATAGGTAGGGTCCAGGTGTGGAAGCTGCCTTCCAGGCACGTGGGTAGCATTGGTGCTCAGCACGGAAAACAAACCAAGCTAAAAGATGGTGGGGTTGTGGACAAGACACGACCGCAGGGTTGACGTAGATTACTTTTAGCTGTGTAGTGAAATTCTCGTGCATTTTTTCTAGATATTGATTTAAAATACAGTAGAAGTAACCTATGATTTCGGTCATGTACATGTTTTGGATTTCCTAGTTAGTACATATTTTGGATTTCCTAGTTAGTAAAACTTGGTTAAATTCAGGACCTCATAAAAATGCGAATATATATTCTATTACATTTGGTTCCTAAATTACAATCAGATATGAGTAAGGCTTTCTTCAGATGATTCATTGAAGCGTCCAACAATGACCATCATGATGGCTGATATTCCCTAGCACTTCAAGATTTCTAGGACACAAATCTTGGACGGTTGTGACATCACTCATGAAATTGAAACTTCTTGTGTACTGGACTGCAATAAACGTGAAGTTCCAGTTTCTTTGTTATAAGTTTTGTGAGAGCTGATATCTGTACTCTTGACATTTTTATGTGGTTATGAGATTGATCAGAAATAAGGTTTCCTCAGCGATTCAACTTCAAAACGCTAAACGGAGTGCACAATTTTGCGCCAATGTTATGCAACATTTCATAGTTGATCGAGATGATGATATTAGTCATGATTCCCTCCAATAAGTTTTCAGTACATCTTTTATCTACCGATTGAACAAATAAAAAAAAATACTAAGGCTGTGTTCCATTTGCAAAATTTTCACTTAGATTTGACACTTCGAAAATAAATAAAGATGTTCGAAAATCCATCTGTTGTAGATCGGCCGATTTTCGAGAAAACGTCTGTCAAATTGATTCCTTGTTTGTCAGAAATAAGTCTGCTGGAATTGCAGGTTTATTTGAAAATTTTCCATTTGTCAAATTTAAGTAAAAATTCACCAAATGGAACACAGCCTTAATAACTTGAGCACAGAATCGTTTCTTGTTGTGTTTGTCGTATTAGATGCTATAGGGTAGAGCGCTACTTCGTCGTAATCGCCCATTTCCGTTCTATCGATCAGAAAAGATCAATATTATCAATTATTTCACCGTGTACAAATCAATAATAGGTTTGTTCCGATGCGTTTGTTCATTAGCTACAACATAAATCCTGTTAGAGCGCATTGTATGAATATTTACGCTCATTGTTCTCAAAACAAAAGAAGTGCTCCTAGCGAATCCCCTTTTTCTACGTTTATCCGTAGGACGAAGAAAATCTAATGGCGTTTCAATGCGTTAGAACGGAATTGAAACTCGTAGAACGAATTTAGAATCAAGAAGCAGTGTTAGATTTTAATCAATATTTCAACAATTGGTGACTCTTTATCAAATCCAACGGTGCGTAAGGAACGGTGAATAAATTTAGAAGTAATTTTTGACATTTTTTGTTTAAACTCGTTCAGAAGAGAGAGGTAAAGCGCGGGGTTTGCTTAGTAGGACGGAAATTAGATCAAAAACCCTATAATAACTTCTTTTATCAATATGTGTGCTGAAAATACCCTCCTACTTAAAGAATTATGCAATCGAACGGCTGGCTATGCCTCGCCCCCATCAGCAAAAAACTGTATAAACCGTTCTATAGCATAATTTTCCTAGTAGGAGGGACTTTCAAAGCTAATCTAAAAGCATAAATAGAGGTACCGTCTGATAATTTCAGTGCTTGGTACAGAAAACTGTAATCTGTGTAGAAAATTCCTTTTTATCACCACAGAACCACCCCGTTCCCGTTTTCTTTTGCAAAATAATGAATTTGCGTTCACAAAACGCACGAAATCTTAAAAAAACCATATTAAGATTTTTTAATTCAATCAATAGATTAGCGGCGCCGGTGGTGTATTGGTAAGCGTGATTACCTCTCACCCCAGCAGGCCTGGGTTCAATCCCAGTCGGCGCCGCCGGGATGTTCTGAGGCATAACATCTCTGATCACGCCTTCCTTCGGATAGGAAGTAAAGCCGTTGGTCCCCGGTTCATGAATTGATGAGTCGATAGGTAGGTTCCAGGTGTAGGAGCTGCCTCCCTGGCGTCGGTAGCATTGGTGCTCAGCACGGAAAACAAGATCGACGAAAAAAAAACAAGGAAAAAAAAATCAATAGATTAAAGATGTACCGATAATTAAATGGAGGGATTTTAAGCTAAAATGTTCTGATCGCGAAATATTGACGATCAATACCGAAATTTCGCATAAATGTCCAACCGGTTTTGTGTGGTGTGTGCTGCTGTCTTTCAGTGTTGCTCAATGATTAGTGGTTATTTCGGACCGACTAGAAGTTAAATTTTGGTAACCTTGGCTGAGCTATGTTTGAAAACTGATCTATTTCTGGCATTTTCGAACATTGAAAATAACTTTCGAAATGTCACGTTTAACCTCGAGTTAAATTTAACTCAGCAATTGGTACACAGCCCAAGAAGTATTTCTCGATTACTTTTTTGAAGGGACGTATCAGTTTTTGTAAACAACGCATTTGATCGTCGATTTGGTGTAACTGGTAGCTCACTCACGCATGCTAACACTACCATCAGATAGAGGAAATTATCCCTACATGATATAGTGGTGTTAATATGTGGGGTGAGCTATCAGTTATGCCAAACCGACAATAAAATGCGTTGTTTACAAATGCTGATATGTCCTTTTGAAAAGTAATCGAGATTTGTAGTTATCATTCAGGCAAGGAGTGCTTGCACCATCGAGGTGACGTCACTACCAGCAGCCAGTGATCTCGACGGGAACGAAGCGCAAAGTTCGAGGTGCAAAACTCGAACGTTGCGCGCTTGACAGGAACCGCCTTCCTACTACTGCTACTGCTATCTGCTTACCCGCCGTCCGAAGCGAAAATGAGTTGAGGCACATTAGCAGCGCTGTTTTATGACTTTTCAGATTCAAGCAGCACGATGTGCAACCAAATTGTACTTGATTATGAGGACTGGGTTTGGAGAGAACGTTTATTTCATGAAAACAGTGATAAAATTATCGCTTTTTGTTTGTCCATTTTTAAAACAGGTTTTTTATGAAAAATTGAAAAAAACATTTATTTTTAACAGCTTACGAGAGTTATTTCCTATCGATTGGTGTATTTGGATTTTAATTTCATCTATAAATGACAAAGTTATAAGCGTTATAAACCTTACACCTTTTCGTGACGGTCACAATTTTAGATTTTCGATTTAACCCCAGTACCTTACCTTAAGACGTAGTCTACGTCAAAAATTGGCTTCTTTTTGCCTGTGACGTGTTATTCTTCTGTCGTGGAATGGACCGTGCCAAAACTAGTTCATTATCGGCGACGCAGTCGACTGTCAAAGTACAAGAAAATAGATTCTCTGTTGAAAAAAAACACGCGTTTCTATACGTTCGCCTAACCAATCAGGCGCTGGTTCGCGTTTGACAGAAAATTGGTTCATAAAAGCCCCCTATTGTCTCCTCTTCCTCTTTTGGTCAGCTGTATATAGCCAAAAAGGCAAAATAACGTAGGACCTATGGTTACTTGGGTAGATTTATATTCCATGTATTAAATTTATGTCCAATTCTAGTGTGATTATAGTTTGATGGGGAGAAGATTACTGAAAATCAACTTGAGAATAATATAAACGCATGAAGTGACTAGATGCCCTTAGTCTCATCTGAGGAATTTTTGCAGCAAAATTATTGTTCAATCTTTTCAACCTCTCCAGTAAAAGTCTCCATTCCCACCAACATAATTCCAACCCTTTCATCCCAAACTTACCTTCAACGTGCCGTTGAATCCGACCGAGTCGTAGCAAAAATCCCCAATCTGCTGAAACTAACTATGTTATCCTCTATTGGCGCATTCTTGCCGGCACAAAGGATTCAACCAAATCACATCATCATTTCCCGCGAACGAATATGAAACGAATAACAATCCGCAGGGACCGATTCCCTGGCTCACAGGACGCTTCACCGTACGTTTCGTTTTAAAATTCGTACTTTCACGTTGCCAATACTAAATTGGCACCGGCTCCTTGAGTTGTAGCACCCAGCTGTGTGCGTGGATCCAAGTCACGACGAATTCAAAATTCTTTCGCCAGATTAGATTTCTCTTCTTTTGACAACAGCCACCGTCGTTCACCCACCCAATCAAGAAGTTACAAATTCCTTTGTCTGTTGGTTGCTTCTTTTTCACTTATTTAAGCACTGATTTTCACTCACAAACGCAATTCTTTTTTCTTTTGTTGATTCTTAAATCGAATTCGTTACGATATTTTCACATCACCGCCGGTGACGGGTTTTTTTTTTCTTTTCTTCAGGACGATTTCTGGAACAACTGGGAAAAAGGTTTTGGAGGATATTTCACACTCTTTCTTCGCAGAAGTGTTTCCTCCGATAAGGTAGTGATTTCTCAAAACACTTAGCAAATTCACCCACGCTTCAATTTCGATTTAGGCTCAGCACCATGGCCCCGATAATGTGAAATGATGGTAGAAATGGGTTTTCACTAACGAATGTGTCTTCTAGTTTGTCTGTTTTCTTCGTTGGTTTCGTACACTGTTACATTTGTTTCTATTTGGAACGCGGGGTATCCAGGTAGCGTTGTCTCCAGTCGATGTTGGAGTTATTTTTTTGGTGTGCTCTTCCCCGTATCGGATTACAATAACAATGAAAGACGCATGGGAAAAAATGATGTCTCAAATGTTTCCGGCAAAAAAAAAAAGTTAGAAAAGGTTAGTCTAACTGGATTGTTTCCCAAGCGCTCTCGGCAGGAGAGCTGTGGGTATCGTTGTTGGATGTTGTTATTTAATTTCACCCTTATCATGTACGACCGTTGTCGGCGTCAACGTCCCGTGAACGAGAGCAAACGTGGTAGACTGTTGTTACCAGCTGGGACATGAAACTTCAAAGAATTGTTTGTCCGGCTTCCTCCGTTGACCTTGGCGCTCTGTTGAAGAGCTAAGTCTAACACTCGAATTCGCTACTTGCTCTGACAGCATAAAGGGCCTAGCGATAACTTGAAAACACATAAGCGCTGGCACTCGGCTCCACCCCCCAAAACGAGAAGCTTCTTCTCTTATTCAATCACTTGTTTACATAACATCACACCCAGCTTTCAACACCGAATCCAGGAGTGTCGTTTATAGCTTCCTCGTTCACCGAATTTTCCACCAAGTTGCTCCCCAAGGTCGAACCTACATACACTTTGATTATCGTTGATTTCGCTTTTGTCCTCACCGTTCTTATCGAGTTTCCCAAAACGACCAAGTTCCTTGCTTGCACGCTCGTTCGCAGCCTCTCTCTCTAGCTCTCCCCCTCCCGAGAGGGTGTGATTTTTCACATTCCTATTCCCCCTTTTCCAGCGCAGCTTCTTCTCACATCATCATCGCCCTGTTTACATCGCTTCCACACCGCACCATGTGGGTGAAAGCACACTACTCTATAATCGAATCACACACGCGCGCCTTTGAATAATTAAATTATTCTGCTCTCAACCGAGCAGACCAGCCACTAGTCGGTTCGCAAACATCCACTGTACCAGTCCCATGGGCGCACACAAACACTTCGGGATCGCCCAAGGAATATATTCTTCCCCCGTCCGTCGCTTGATTCAAGGGGGCGGGGTGCCTTTTTCCCCCAAACGGTACGAAATATCCTTCAAAATAAGCCCTACACACAGAGCACTCTGTAGTGTCCCGCACCGAAAACGGAACAACGGCGAGATATGGCCCAAAACCGTACCAAAGCGCTATGAATCTCGTTCGATACTGACACAGGGCCACCGAGGGAGAGAACATTCAGATCAAATCGAATCGGATGACGAGCGAGCATCCCGCATGTCCTTTTGGACCGACGACGACGAAGACGACGAAAACAGCAGCAGCTATGAACCCGCATCTCGGAGAAATTTCGTCTCTCCCTCTCGTAATTTGAACACAACAAGCGGTACTAGACGGGCCGGAATTTGTGACGTTTGACTTTGTAGGCAATGCCAGGCCCGGTGTGGTAGTAGAATGATGTCTCTCACGTGCACTCAGCTGAGCGAAGAGGTGGCATTCGTTTCCAATGGCCGTTCCAGTGAGTGTGAGTGCCAGCTGGATGAGAAGGAGAGCGAGAAAGCCATAAAGTCTCCAATGTCCTTCAAAATGAGCTTGACATTATGTTTTGTCTATGTGCGGGCACGGCACATGATGGGAAGTGAGCAATCCATTTCCCATGATGATTGTTCGAGAAATTTCTCATGTTGAGGAGGATTATTATGGTAGTAGGGTTTTTAATATAATTTCCGTCCTACTAAGCACAGTCCGCGCTTTACCTTTTTTTACGGGTTTGAATATTTCTGTCAAAGATGACTTCTAAATTTATTCACCTTTCTATACGTACCGTTGGATTTGATAAAGAGTCACAAGTTGTTGAGATATTGTTTTAAATCTAATACTGCTTCTTGATTCTAATTTCGTTCTAAGAGTTTCAATTCCGTCCTAACGCATTGAAACGCTATTAGATTTTTTTTTCGTCCTACGGATAAACGTAGAAAAGAGGGATTCGCTAGGAGTGCTTCTTTTGTTTTGAGAACAATGAGCGTAAATATTCATACAATGCGCTCTAAAAGGATTTATGATGTAGCTAATGAACTAACGCATCGGAACAAACCTATTATTGATTTGTTCATGGTGAAATCATTGATATTGTTGATCTTTTCTGATCGATAGAACGGAAATGGGCGTTTACGACGAAGTAGTGCTCTACGCTATAGTTAGTCACCGAAAAACAGACTTAACACTCGCATTATTTTAATCGAATAAGCAAGTAAGGGTCAATTTCTTGGTTGGCAGCATTGCCACCTGTGGCACTAGACTGGCCCACATTTGTACTCTCAGAAAATATTCAAATCTAAAAAGTATAAAAGCTACGATGAATCGCCACTTTCCCGACCGACGCATAGATCGGAATAAAATGGTTTATACATTGCAATGTATGAATTCGCGATATTGATATGATGTATACAACACCGAGAGAACAGCTGGCAAAAAACAACCATATTTTGGGTTGCTTCAACCAAATTTTCATATTGAAAATTGCACAAACATATATTTTGTTTACTCTGACAAACTTTGATGTTTGAAATAAACTAAAATTTGAGGTTGTTTTTGTTTTTTTTTTCAACCAAAATCCAAAATTAAAACATTTGTTTTAAATAACCAAAATGTTTAGTGTTTGATTTTGACTGCTGATAAAGCAAAGGTTAATTCAAACAAATAATTTTTTTCGTGTTGGGTATATTCATCACTGCAACCATTACTTTGATCTATTCTGATATTCCCCGTTTTTATATTGCTTTATCAGTTATGTCGTATCACTATTTTGTGAAGCGACCGACATAGACTGACCAAAAGCATTTTCCCAGCCAGGTGTTACATTTCTAATGAAATTTACTACTTGACTGGGACCTGCATTCCAAATATCAAAGTATACTGCCAGCCCCTTATCTAGAAAAATACGCCTTTTATTGAAGATTGCTGCACAAAAGCATAGCAGGTGTTCAGAGTCTTCCTTTTCTATGCCACAGAATCGACACATATCCTCTTGAAGTTTTCCTATTAACTTCAAATGATATTTACATGGACAATATCCTGTTATCAAACCAGTATAGACACTGAGATCTTTCATTGATATTTCAAGAATTTTGCTATTTAGTCATTGAAATGTTCGGAATTCGATTATTCAACAGGACTCAACGAGAATCGGGATGACAAATATTCAGCAGCAAGGACACAATACATGAGCGGTGAGATCTAACTGATTACAACTAGATATAAAAATATGAAATGCATCCTACTAAATACGTGCCATCTACAAAACAGGAGTTGCTTTGATGATGGAAGTGTACACGCAGTACCAATATACATTTTATATCGGTACTACGTGTATGTGGGGTAGAATGTTTCAAAATAGGTCAAATCTGGTATTTCAAACGCTACCCTCTGCAATGGTAGTTTTGGGAGTCAGAAACACCCTGCCAGAAATTTGAAGTGATTTGTTTCACGGGAACCCCTCGCTCAAACGGCTTGAAGTTTGTATGGGGAAAATCGACAAAATGTATGGGGGAGCGAGCCACTTTCACATTCGCGGCTCTATGTGGCGCTGTAGTGGGTCGATTTTCTTCGTGTACAAAATGAAGCACCTTTGGAGTATTCGAAATATCTTGACTCAAGACCGGATGTGAATCCGAGTTACCCCCGAAAAGTTATTAGCGTTTCAAACGAACACCACCTGCTTTACTTCTGGGAAGGGCCTAACGCGCTTGTGCAGTTTTTATTTTTACGAACAGGTATACGAATACCAATGTTTGCATAGGTATAACTTTTTTGTTTAACCATGAAATTGGTTGAAATTTTCACAGTGAGTAGAAAAATGTTCGGAATTATGGTCTACTAAAAATTGGAACAGATTGGCCAAGTGGTTCTGGTTTTATTCCGGGTTTCCGAGAGGCCATCGGGGGGAGAAAAGGTATTAGTCGTCTAGAACAAGGTGGTGCTGGAAATCCACAGCAACAGGCATCTATGGGTAGTACTGATTAATATTTTAACAAAATCAACCCATAACCTGGTTCTAAATACTGAGTGTCCACCGGAAGGCCTTCCGATGACCCAGATCAACCTTAATCTGGATTATTATGTATTTTTTTTTATCAAAGTAGGCCTTGATTATTCTCTGTAATTTTTGCGCAAGCATATTATAGAGCATTCAAGAATTGCTTGAATTTCTGCTTGGAACACGGTTCGCCAGTAACCCATAGATATTGTGATATCTATCCCTGGACCAGTTATCTCTGCTCCCACACGATTGTTCAATCTTGAACCGTCTGTATAAAAAACAGTTGAACCTAGACTGATGTTTGGTCCCCCATTTTCAAAAACGTTACGATCAAGTTCTGCTACATTGTATAAACGATAGAAATTATATTTTTTTTCTCCATCCAGTCTTCATTTTTTTTAATACAAGAGAATCAATATCAAACATTTTTAATATACTAAGGTGTCCTGTAAGATCACCTTCAAGGAAGTAGTTTTCAGCATGCTACTCGTACCAAGGATGTTTGTTGGAGACCTCAATGGGCATCATCCAACTTGGGGCTGTCCTCGTCCGAATCCCAGAGGAAGCATCCTAATGGACCTACTCGATCAGGAAGTCATGGCAGTGCTCAACCATCATTCTTCAACGGACCTCACGCCGCGGCTATCGACGTCTCTTCGATCAGCCGTTCCATAGCAGGAAAAGTCACGTGGTGCACCAATGCGGATTTGTACGGAAGTGATCACTACCCCATCCAAATGCAGCTTTCGTCAGCCACGGCTCCAGAAGTCACTAAAAGGCCTCGCTGGCGGTACGACGAGGCTGAAAGGGATGGGTATCAGGGGACAATTCTGTCCCTGATCCTCGAACGCAATCCGTTAACCATCCCGGATTTTTCTAAGTTGGTGCATCCGCTACCATACCAAAGACCAGTAGCCTACCTGGACGAAAAGCCCTCCGTTGGTGGAGCGAAGACACCAAAAAATCCGTTAAAGCCCGCCGGAAAGCTCTACAGAAACTCAAGATAACCCCGAGAGATGACCCAAACAGGGAAGAGCTACTAACCCCGTACCGTGCACTGCACCAAAACATGCACCAAAACACCTATGGATTCAGGCGATTATAAAGTGCGTCCCACCGAACACCATGTAGACATGGATTCCCGGACACTGCGGACTGACAGGTAACGAGTCTACTGATCACCTTGCCAGAGCCGGGACATCGGGTCCCAGACTCACTGACAAGGTACCCCTACAGGACGTGAGACGGTGGATCATGCTGACCATTCGAGCGGCATGGGAGGCCGAGTGGTTCCACAACAGAACTGCCTTCATTCGCAACGTCAAAAGGTCAACTGAACTCTGGAGCGAACTGGACAACCTGAGGGACCAACGCGTGATTTCGCGGTTTCGGACCGGGCACACCAAACTCTACTATAACTATGGTGGCCTGCCGTTCAGCAGAAGCTGCATCATCTGTGGGGTACCCTACACCGTCAAACACATCCTGTGCAACTGCCCGGAGCTCCAAAATCTTCGGGAGTCACTCTGGCTAACTTCCAGCATCAGTGATCTGCTCGGGAATGATACTTCGGCCTCGGCAGCACTAGTAACCATCTTAAAAGAAGCCAAAATCTACCACTTGCACACTTAGAAATACCTAATTTTACACGTGACGGAATCCATCTTTGACATAAAGGATGAGACGTAAACAAACATGTCATGTAAAATTAAGTGCTCCGAGACTGAAAAGTTCGGTACTCGACGAAAAGTACGTTTGATTGAGCTGAGTTTTGCGTCTATTACGACTCAATTTTATGTCAAAAATGACGCTCGTATATGTCAGTCTCAGAGCACCTAAATTTACATGATTTTTTTTAAGTGTGTGGTATAGCAGGAATTTCTTTCGGCCGTCGGGACATCTCAGCTGGATGGATTTCTCCTATCGAACCCATGCCAGCTCTGCCCATAAATGAGAAATTGGCTAATAAGCCATTTTTGTCAAAATCGAGAAAATGGTGTTAGTTGATATGTGGCACTTTTGTCAAGGTCCCCACTGTATACAATTTTGAAAAAATTGATTCGTGCGGATAAACGACTTGAAAAACTAGATGGCTAATGTGCAATATAAATGAGAAATTGTCTAATGTGCATGATCAGTCTGAAAC